TCTCCATTATTGACTCACACATTTGATGATTATTTTGTTCTTCTCGGGAAAAAAAATTGTTGAAAAGAACAACAATGGATTTTACTTTTCATTTCGGGTGTATGAATTTTGCTTATTATATCAATCTTGAAAGACAATGTTCATAATAGTGATAATACCAGTTCGGACGAAATTACTTTTAATAACGACATCAATCTCTACTAAATAAGTTTTAAAGTGGCAAGGAACAAGGTGTGTTTCATTACCTGCACTCTACAGGCCACTGGTGAAGAGCCTCATCGTCGCTGGGATTTAGCGGAAACACTGTTAGTCTTTCCATTCCAAAACTTTTTGACTTATGAGACGAATGGATTTGAAGTTTTCATCAAGACGATGTAATGGGCATGACAATGATTTTATCTTTGAAGAAATTTAGCAATCTAATTATTCAAGGAAGTTGCCACAATCCCATTTCTCACCAAATAAGCTAAGCCGAATGCCACAAGCATGATATGAATTTGATTAACAGTGTTTACAGAGATAAAGATGAAATCAGAATAATTTAAGATATTTTTAAAAGTATATATACATTTATATTTTAGATGAGGGCTTCTCTTTTAAGACATGCCTCCTTAAACCAGGAATATGAACATTCACAATGTAATCCTTCCAGTCTATGCTTTTCACATCACATCCAAATGATTTGAGAAATGTTGCAGTGAGTTAAAGAATATCATTTCTGATATTCGGATTGGTCGACCATTGGAATCGAAGAAGGGATGGGATTTGAACTGTTGGTAGATTAAGTAAAACAAATCCTCAAAAACTATAGGGTTTGAAGAAGAAGAACAAAGGTGGTAGAAACTCGTCTCTGCTTTCTTGGCCATTGAAACATGCTTAGCCGTTATTCCCAACATTGTATTAACAACTATGTCTGCTGGAATCTACTTCAACAAACTCTTTCATTAAGAAAACAATAAGCAAGGAGGAGAAGAAGAAAGGAAAACAGAAGAAATCACTTACAAAGTCAATGGAATTGTTGGGATTTAGCGGAAAACCAGTTAGCTTCCCTTTACCATAGTATATAATTATGGGATCGGCCATCCTTGAAAGAATAGTAAAAGATAGTTAATATAAACAGTAATAATGAATATACAGTAAGTGTTAATTAAATTATATGTACTTGATTCCTTCAATCCAACCAGGAAAAGGCTCCTTGTAAGTGCTTAAGATTCCACTGGGTCTTACTATTACTATGGGCACTGATGTTTTGCTTCTCATACTGTCAATCAACATCTCTCCCAGAGCCTTTGTAAACCCATAGCTATTCTACCACCCATATTTTTTTGCCCTGTTTTTTCGATACCTATAATTTGTTTTTCAAATTATTTTATATCAAAGAAGGCAGGCATCATCACCTTATCAACCCCAATTGTTTCATTTTTGGGGACATATCGTTGGGTTTGAGAAGTTTTTTGTAATCCGAAGCCAACCTCATTTCATTCTCCAACACGGCTGTTTCAGACAGAACACAGACTTGTCTTCCCATGCTATCTCTCGGACTAAAACATTCCTTTTCCTCCATGAATCTTCCTTCTCTTGAATATCTTTTAACAGAGTCTGCAATATCCCATAACGAAAAACGTTCCACTTTTAGATGTCAAAAGCACAAAAAAATATATATTTCTTTTCTTCATACTTGTTGATGTATGCACGAAGAGCTCGATATTTTTGCACTTGCTGGCAAAGTTCAATAGATTGCAAGGTCCCATTGCATTTACTTGAAGAGCAACATCATATCTGCAGAATCATTTTACTTGGTTATTACCAAAATTTATATCGTATCGAATCTTTCATGCCCTTTTTATGATCTAACCTTTGATCAAATGTTGCGTCACCTGCAATGTTGACGATGATTTGGACATCTTTAGCAATTTCAACAGCTAAATCTTCTTGTATCCCAAGAGTAGGAAGGCCAACATCTCCAACCACAGGAACTAATTTACTACACATAAATGCTTCGTAGTGTTTCCCATGTTTTTGCTTTACACACTTAAAAAGCTCTATATCCACAATCTAATTGAAAAAACCCAGATTAAACAAATGTTTCTCAAAATGGAAAAACTCTATAAAAATATTGTTGAATAAAGAACATACTTCCTTCCTCAATCTTTGTCGTGCATCTTCCATATCTTTTCCTCTGATCATAAGATAAATCTTACTCACATCCGGCATCGATCTCAGAATTTTCTCAACAAGGACTGCATTTCAAATACATCAAATGTTATACTCTTTAAGATTATATTAAAGAAAGAAAGAAGATTACGTACCTTTTGCGAGGAATCCAGTTGAACCAGTGATAAGAATAACCTTTCCTTTAAGAAAATTTTCAATTCCGATTCCATCTTTCTTCGGCTTAGGATGGATGAATCCTGCTTGAAGAGACCTTGGGTTGTTTTCATTGTCTTCAATATACAATGAAGTAGTGCTTTCTCTCTTGAGCATGGTTTTAATATGAAAAATAATGGTTAGGATACAAATTATACTACTATGTGATTACCTAACTGTTCTTGTTCGTCAATGGAACCAGGTGACGGTGTGTATTTGTAGAGATCATGACCTTTTAGTTTTACATGCATAATCTTTTATTATTAATATCTTAATAATTCATCTGTTTATCTTATATTTTATTCACGTAAATTATATACTCCATAATTATATATTTGATGTAAAAGACTATTTAACACTAATTAAATATTGTTTATATATAAATATATGCACAAACGAAGTGACCTCCATAGTAAAAGAATTTCGAACATCATAGATGTCAGGAGTGTGAGCGTTTAATATCGAGAGGTTGAGAGTTTACTTACCTCAAATTTATCAAAAATAAATAAATAAATATATTTAATTAGTTAAGAGATTGATTTGGCGTCGAAGACTTCACAAAAATTAAGGAAGAAGAAAAGAGATGATGGTAGCTTAAGATCGGAATGAAAGATTTGCCCCACTTTCCCGATAATTTTTTTAATTAAAAAATATTTAATTTAATAATCAAAATGGAACGATTTGTTGCTTTCACTATATAAAAAAACATATTTTTCACTATATATTTAATTAGAAATTAAAAAAATATAAATTTGCAAAAAGTAATGAGTTGAATAGGATGAGTTTATAGTGAATGACACACTGTTGTGCACCATTAATAATGTGGACTAATATGTATTACTAATATAAAAATATGATAAAATTCATAAATGGTCATTAAATTTATTTAAATGATTTAATTTGTCATTAGATTTTGAAAACTTATAAAATAAACTTAGACTTACTTACCTCAAATTTATCAAAAATAAATAAATAAATATATTTAATTAGTTAAGAGATTGATTTGGCGTCGAAGACTTCAACATGTGAAACAAAAAGTAAGGAAGAAGAAAAGAGAGAATGGTAGCTTAAGATCGGAATGAAAAGATTTGCCACTTTCCTGATAAAAAAAGTTTTTTTCTTAACATTAATGTTTTTAATTGAAAAATATTTAATTTAATAACCAAAATGGAACGATTTGTTGCTTTCACTATAAAAAAACCTATTTTTCACTATTTGAAAAATATAATGAGATGAATAGGAAGAGTCTAGAGTGAGTGTGCACCACTAATGATGTGGACTGATATGTATTACTAATATAATAATATAGTAAAATTCATAAATGGTCATTAAATTTATTTAAATGATTTAATTTGTCATTGAATTTTTAAAAGTTATAAAATAAACATTAGACTTCATATTTTATTTAAAAATAAGTAGCGATCATGCAATATTATTAATGGGTTGACATGACATACTAAATGAGTGAATCTTTGTGAGATATTGAGTTATGTTTCACTGATGTTGGAAAATAATTGAGATATATTGCTTTGCTTAAAATTCTTATTAGTTGCGTCTTTGCTTGATTGTACCTTAATTTCGACAATTGTTATGGTCTTAATTCATTTAGAAGTTTGAGGAATAAAGTGAGATTTAAGATGACAACTTGTAATTTTGATGTATTAATTGAGGAATGCTTGAGGACAAACATTGAATAAGTGAAGGGAAATTTGATAAGTGATTTATTTAGTTACTATGTTATCTTTAATTTGTTCATTGATTATTAGTTTATGTTGTTGATTTTGTCGTTTTAATTCATTTTTTGTGCAGGACATCAGATTCTGGATATTGCATTAAAAGGGCGAAGTTCTGCTGTTGTTTTTAATTTTGGAGTCAAGCCTGAATTAGTGGGTATGATGTGTTTGAGGTGGCATCCAGTTAGCAGCTTTCAGAAGGTCTAGTTAAGCACTTTTAGAAGGACGAACGATTCATCCACATTTTTGAAATTCGAATTAGGAATTATCTCTTATTTTAAGGATTTAATTTGAATATTTTTCTAGAATTATCTTTTATCATTTTTAGGGTTTTAGGAAGATATAAATAGTCTCTCAGGGTAAAACCCCAAAGCAAAGAACAAAAGTAAATCCAAAAAAAAATATAGCACTTTGCCCTTTCAGTGCGATTTCTAGAATCTGATGTCTTGTACAGAAAATGAATTAAAGCGGCCAAATTAACAATATAAAGTAATAATCAAGGAGCAAATTAAAGATAAAATAGTAACTAAATAAACCACTTATCAGGAACATAATAAAAATTATTTTAATTAAAATTAATAGTAAAATGAAATTTTAGTTACAATTAAAGGGTCAATGAGATATTTTCTGTTAATTTAGCAGGTCACATCATCTCTTTCATGTTGTAATAAAATTTAAAATCCTATTATATAACTTTTAAAAGTTTGGTGATTAAAATAATTATTTTGATATAGTTTAATATCTATTTATAAATTTTACCTTATAAAATCCTATTTTAGAATTTTCCGTTGAATAGATGAACAATTTAAACATGGTGCTTCTTTTGCTGCCGATAAGTATAAACCTTGAATATTAGTCTGCTTTTCATTTTTTGATAATCTTCCAAAACAAACAATTCCATGGCATAAACACACTATTTTTTTTATTACAAGCAGAACGTGAAACTAAGTCATCAGTAATAATAACATTATAAATCAACCATGGAAGACGGTAGTTTCAATTGTCTTGCTGGTGTAGTTCACCGGTGCATCAAACTTGGTGAAAAGCCTATAGGAAGAGACCAGTGACAGCGCCGCATAGCAAAGCACCGTGACAAATGTGATGATCACAGATGTTGTGGCTTTGTGACAAAAACCGGAAAATGATCCACAAGCAGCACTCCATGTGATGGCCGAATCCCCTTTGTTTGCCAAGTACAGCACCTCCGTTGAAACGGAAGCCGCAGCCAGGATTATGTACGTTAGCATCTGCAGGAACATCAAAACCAGATAAAAACATTCATTATGATGTTTTAGTTGATAAACGGTTGGTTTAATTATTCAGAAAGAAGTTGAATTAGATGACCTGATCGAGGAGGAAGAAAGTCCAAGCTCTAGGCATAGTGGAGGGACGAGGCATGGCTGCTATAATAGCTGAAAGAAGGGAATAGCCTGCACAAATTCCATTTGCATGCACCAGATACCTGAAAATGGTGAAACCCCGGTTAATTCTTTGATGCCAGTTATTAGTCTAATCGAATTTTTTAACATCAAATTGAATAAAAAAGATTTCATGTTTTTTAACTTGAGTCGAATTTTGTTCAACCTAATCTTAACCCTAAATTGGATAGTATATTTGGCCACTTATTGACTTTGTTTGACCTAATGGGTTTTTATTTAACCCTCTGGAGAAAGACTTGAGTTAAAGTTTAGAATCCCCTATTTCTGTTTAGAAAGACTCAAGTTGTTGGTGGTGCTAAGTGCAGTGGATGGTGTTAGCTAGTTACTTACCGGAGAATGATATGAATTTGTAAAGGGATTATGTATCTTAGCTTATCTTTATAGAGTGATGAAAAAAGATATAAAGAAGAACCTGAAAGCTCCAAGATCCGAGTAGGAAACCGAGCCAAACTCATTAGACTGAGAGTCCTTGAGCATTACAACGAGTGCAGCAACCCCTAGTGCCATGGGCACCAACCGCAGCATGGTCTCGGCAGTTCTCATGCTAGTGTTCGCTTCTTCTTCATTTCCATTTCTTGAAGACGGCCCCATTAAAGCCATTGGAGACCTTGTTGTAGCAGCAGTAGCAACAACACCATTACCCTTTTCACTACTCTTCTCCATTATTCTCTCTTTTTCTTCTTCTTCCTCCTTGTTCCGAAACTATATGTATAGTGCTGTGGATGAATACCCTTATTAATGGGGTTTAGGTAAGGTAGATGCTGCAATCAATGAATGGCACTCAAGGCATGCAGGCCACGCTTTCCTAAGTGCATTAACTAAAACAAGCCTTTCTCTCTCTCACATGGTTGGTGTTATGGCTTAGTTACCATCTTCCATGCTTCTCTTCCTTCTCCCATCAAATTTCCATTAATGCATAAGATTTCATGTTACCACCGGCTCTCCATTTCCATTTATCATGTGTCCAATTCAAGCATTCAATGACTTCTAAGTAACTTCTTTAATGTCCTTATCAATTGGAATCTATCTAGCTAATGGTCTCCATTCCAATATGGCATTGACCTCTCCTTTTTCTTCTAGTTCAGGACTCACTAGAACCATCACATAATGATTCATGGGCCAAAGGAAGCCCAACCCAGACCCATGACATGATTACGGTTACCCATTAGCTTACTCAATCATCCTTACTTATGTCTATTAGGTCGAGCGATACGTAGCTTGATAACTCTTTAAACAAAGTTCGAATTTGAATCTTATAGATGAAGTAAACAATATTAAAATAACTCTACTTCTTGTTTAAAAATTTGATTTGATTTGATTCTGAATATATTTGGTACCATGTGGCTACGAGCTAAGGTTCTTTAGACCAAAAATGGTAAAACATCCTCGACGTCATGATTTGTGTCGAGGATGCCTAACCAATGGTGATTTCACAATGTTTTCTCTCATCCTTACTCCATTGAAAGTTGCTCGGAATCTAAGATTCCATTTCAAAGAACTCATAAAACAATATTGTTGGCACTGCTTTCCAGATTAAGAGCTACGTTTTATGTAATGACAATACTAAACAGGTTCTTCACCATTACTCAATTTCACATGTTTAACTCTTTAACCATACATGCATTGCATTCCAACGGTGACTGAGTTCTGGTTCTTCAACATTATTTGATACAAATTTCTTTATTTATATCACACTGTAATGAGGATTTGTTAATGAGAACAAGTAGAGCACGGCGATTATAGACATTTATCTTTTCTGGTTTAGGTGGATAACCACAGTTAATGATTCAAAATCTTATGTCTTTATAAAGAGATAGAAGAAGAACAAGTGAAGCAAAAAGGTTTCAAATACTTTTTCACAGTCTTGATCAAGAAATTTCTAGCTTACGTACCTTCAAGTAGAAATCCATGGCTGACAATTGAAAAATTCTCCACAACTTACAGTTCAAAGTTTTCACCTTTAGCACCACTTAACCTCAAATCACTGTGAGTTCTCCTAGATCAGACAATCTTAGGCTTAGAGAAAGTTCATACATTTGACATTAAGAGTATGAATTTCAATTACAATAAGAACAAAAAAGTTCCAATCCGAATTTTCAAAAAGAATGCAAAGCTCATACAGCAAGTTGAATATCACCCACTTCAAGCTGAGCAGCAATCTCCTCCAATTGTTTCTTAACACTCATATCAATCAATTTTGACCCTGAACTCCCATACCTGATGGTAAACCCAGCTACCAAACTTGGGTCAATCTTAGTTTTAATCCTTACATTCTTAGCACCGGTTAGCTTCTGCACCTGTTTAGCAATTTGAGCCAAATGCTGAGACTCCAATGGCACCACCGAACTCACCACGGCCAACTCAGTATCCGTCAGCTTATTGTAAACCATCTCAAACTCCTTGGCGATTTCTTTGATGAGGTCAATCCTCTTGGCATCAACCAGGATGTTCAAGAAGTTGGCAGTGTGAGGCTGAAGCTCCGATGATTTGACGATTTCGTCCAAAACCTGACGCTTCTTGAGGATATCGACGGTGGGGTTAGTGAAAAAGTCGAGGACTTGAGTGTCGGAGAAGACTTTCTCGACTTTCTCGACGTCGGAGCTGGTGGTGTCGAGGGAGTTGTTTGACTTGGCTACGTCGGCTAAAGCGGTGGCATAGCTGGAAGCGGCTGTGGCGGACATTTTAGCGCCGCCATGGAGAGGGCGAGAGGTGGTGAGTTTGAGTGAAGGGAAAGTGGCTGAGAAGGAGAGGTTGAGGGAGGGAAGGGCTCTGGTGAGTTGGGAAGATGGGAGGAGCTTTGATTGAAGGGAGATTGAAGGTTGCTGAAGGGAAGCCATGGATGAAAGATTGAAACTTTGGGATGAGATTTGATTGAGAATTGAGATGGTGAGGAAAAGGGAGGATCTTGATTTGTGGGGGTTGGTTATCTTGAATTCGAGGAGGAGGGCCACTTATTGGATTGTGGAAGATAAAATGTTGACTCCCACAAACATACTTGGACTTGGAGAGCCACTTGGTTTGTATTTTAAATAAAATTATTTCCAAATTCTATTATATTGGGCTTATATGATCCATATAGGACCCAATTTTGGGCTTAAGCATCACAAAGAGCCTACTAAGCGTCTAAGCCTCCAAAAAAAAGCATGAGGTGCACAATGCAAATAGTATGCAGATCAAATGGTTGTGTCTGATTAGCTCTTGTTGTTAGTAAATTTATAGTTCTCGTCCAATTAAGTAATATTTTGTCTCAGAATGAGATGTGAGGGTCAATGTGCTTCACGAAAATATGGACCAAAATAAAAGTTTGTTCAAACGATAGAGGCTAATTTTATCATTGCATAATGATTAAAATACTTCCCGACATTTACACAAATGATCACTTTTTTTTAGAGTATTTTACCTTCAACATTTCAATTTTTTGTTAAAACATACTCTATTGAATGAAAATTGTTAATTGACTAACGACCAACTCATATTATTGACCAAACATTTACACATGTCCAATTGATGATGTGTAATATGTAATGTGCCACATCACCAAAATGATGACGTAGCACGTGTCATTAGTAATTAGACACAGAAAAATTATGTAAGCAATATAGATTGATTGTTAATCAACTAATGGTTTCTGTCTAATATTTTGATAAGAAATTGAAATTTTAAAGAATAAAATGTTAAAAAAATAATAAGATATAAAGTGAACATTTCTTGCAAATATTAAGAGTAATTTTATCATTATAGACTTTATCATTATACCTAATTGATTGTGATGTATACTTATAGTAACTATTTCCATAATAAAAGATTCTAAAATAAACACACCAAATCAAGCTACATTAATACCATTGTTAATAAGAATTTGATCAGACAAAACGATAGAGCGTGGAAAGTGTAAGATCAATGAGCTATGTTTGTAGCAACCAATCAGAAGTTAAACAACAAAAGATTTTGTCCTACGTAACATTTACTGCAACAGCCAACATGCATGGAAAATAAACTCCATGATGTGCATTCAAAGGGCCGCAATGGTGAAAACAATTTGAAATAAGAAAAAAGGGTACAAAACAGCCAACGTTTTGATTGACAATTCCAACACACCCACTACCCCCTCTTTTGTCCTCCCAAATGACGTGTTGATGCAGTCATAGTTCTCGACCACAGTGTTTTTGGTCCCTCTGTCTATTGGCTCATTATCACACACACCTTTGGATGGTTGCTAAATTGCCCAGACTCAAAACCGTTCAGTCCTTGCAGTTGAATATTGCAGTCATCTCTGCCAATGAAATTCATTTCTGTACATTACAGGACAATGCCTTTGCACTTAGTGGACTCAACCTAAGGTGCCCTCTTTTAAGAATTGATGTAAAATCTTATATTAAGGGGATGAATTTTTTAAATTTTAAGAATTGACAAATTTATAAAGTTTTATAGAGACGAAATCATATTTTCCTTTGAAAATATAAATAAAATATCTAAGGTATATATTAATTTAAAATTTTCATAAGGACGACTATCCCCACTCTTCCTCCTTTGATCCATCCTTACCCTTTTCCAATCCTTTTTTATATAATGAGTAGTCTTGTATGTGAAAATTTATTTAATTTCTCCCGTCAAAAATGGCCTTTGGGGATACCTTGGGTCATCAATAAGAGAACTTCATGACCTCTTCTATTTTACTTTTTCAAGGGGATAATTTTATTTTTGAATTTTTATTTTTAATTATTTTAACAATATGATATTATGAAAGTGTGTCGCATAACTTACTCTTATAACATCATGTCATTGAAAGGACCCAAAATAAGAAGGGTCATCCACTTCAAAGAATGTGAACAAAAAACTTTGTAAGGATCAAAAGAATATTTCACTCTTTTTGCAACATGCCATAGAATTTTCAAGCAAAATTCTAAGTTAGGGATGGGTATTTGATCTGAATTCAATGGATTTCGGTTCGAATCGAGGACCATTTTCTTTTTGAAAATTCGAGTTCAGGTTGGATGGTCTTTTTGAAGGGTAAGATTGAGTTGAGTTCGAGTTTAGGATAAAAATACTCAACCCAAAAATAATGGTATAATTTACCTTTATATATTTAGAGATAATTAATTTAATATTTATCTCTATGTATTTTTTTTCAATTATGTTTTCTATTTTACTTAATAAAAATAAAAAATGTATAATATATATATATATATATGTGTGTGTGTGTGTTGTGCTGGTTTTTTACGCTAAAGTTTGGATTGGATTTCAAGTCGAATGCGATTTTTCTGAACTCATATCGAAAGACAGGTGAAGGGTGTTATACTCGTATCAGGTTTGGATGAGACAAAAATTCAATCTAATTTGCATCCATAATCTAAGCAATGCTTGCAATAAATGTGTGGAGAAAGAATTATAAATGTAGAATATAAATAATAAAACAAATATAAAAAATCATGGTTATAAATAGGGTAAATTACATATTTAGTCACAATTATATTTTTTTAAATCATACCTAAACTGGTGTTTTTGTTCTGTTTTGATCGCTCATCGTTAAAAAATTAATAGTGACGTTGACATGTAACCATAAGTTAATGTCACATGATTACAAATATTATGATTCGGATTTGAAATGTAGGAAATCTCGTGATGTTTTTGTGTGACAGAAGCCCTTTCGTCGAAGGAAAGACGGTCCCTTCCCCATGGCCAAAACAATCTTTTGCGATATCTTTTATAATTAATAGTTCAATTGTCAATTTTGTATTGCCAATAGACATGCCGTTTAAAGGCATTGCTTGGATTGCACGAGGAATTACGAATGCCACGCTTCCATCATCTCAATTCTTCCTGTATAAATTCAATGCCTCTAGTGCTTGTGGACTCCATGAATTATTCTTTCTTTTCTCAACCCTTATCTTCACATTTTATGACCTTATACGAGCCTTCCTCTACATGTTCATTTCCCATACCTTTCTCTCCCACTCTCATCCATCGTCAATCCATTTACCTGCTGGTATTTTCACCTGTCAGATGGTAGAAACAACAATGGGGAAGTTCCGAAACCTCGAACGGTTCACAAATGAAGTTGCTCCACCTCGATTCATCTCCGTTCCCAAGCGTCCGCTGATGAAAACGTTGGACACCATAGCAGATGAAGAAAAAGATTTTGGTGACGACGCAGTTGTTAAAGGACCACGGACGTGTTCATCGCCAATGTGTGGTAAAGAGAAAGTTTGTCTTTCGAGGCAACTCGAAAGCTCGATGCTATTGTTCCTCGTGCAAATGGCTAAGACAAATTGAAACTGAACAGCTTGGTTACTAAAAATGGTTGCTTGAGGGGGTTTAATAATGGTTTAATTTAATGACATGAATAAGTAGATGTTTTTGCCTTGTTTACATTGTTTTCCATCTGTTTTTTTTTTTTTAATTTTCCTGGAAATTTTCTTGACTGCAGATGAGGTTAATGTTGAGTTTCATGAGTTGATACCAGCAATAAAGATTCCAGTTCTTTTACTTCTCTTCATTTTACATACTGAGAGATGATCAAATATAAACTCATTTCCTATGGTTCAAATATCACTACACTCCTCTACAAAAAACACAAACAGCCACCAGAAAAGCAAACTAAAATATTCACCTTGAAAAGCCCCAACTTGATATGATGATGTTCAATAAGCATCACAAGGAGACAACCAAGACATTTCAGATTGCATCATAAGATTTGGCCAGGCATTAGCTAAATGGTTCAAGTTTTAAAATCAAAGGGAGATAAATATTGCATATATAGATACAATGTAATATGCCAGAGCATATGACAAAACAAATGCAAGTATAAACTACAATAAAATAAAATCGAAACCATAGCAAATGCAACTATCATCAGACACATTCATATAGCTAAGAGAACCTTTTATGTTGTAGCATTTATTTTTAGAAGCCATATTGATAATCAGAGGGATCAACTATTATCAAGGTCCCGGCACGCATGGTTATCAAGGGCTCAAGGCGTATCGAGGCGTAAAGTGTCCTAGAGCCTTGAGGCGCGAAGCGCATGAAAGGCACGGAATTCACAAAGGCGAGGCGCATGATATCCAAAAAATTATAATACATGTATATATTAATGCAATCAAACTCAAATCATAGATACCCAATATTAGGCTTAAATAGAGTTCATTCTCAAACTCAAATACCAACCTAACGTCATAAAAGCTATCAACAAGCATAATCAAGTATTAAATTTAACAAAAGCATCCAACATGCATAAACAAAACATCAAATAAAGTCAGTGATAATCATCATCAAACATGACACATGTCACTCACGTTTTTATTAACAGTAGAAACCTGAAAGTGTAACGGAAGAAACATTATACACTTATTTTTAATAAAAAAATTTAAACATCAAAAATTAATTTTAAATATGATTTAGACATTTAATTTTATATTAATCATTATTTAGAAAAGGTAAAATATAGAAATGTTGTTAGACGTAAATATTTAATTACGATTAAATTAATATAAACAAATATCTACATCAACCGGTCACAAAACGTTCTACGTCATGACTTTATCCATTCCCCACAAGTACCCGCGACAACTAAAGATTTTTCTTCCCGCCAATCAAAATACGACACGTTACCATAGCTTTTGTGTTTAAAATTACTCACTAGTCACTTTCTCCTTTTCTTCACATTCTTATTCGTACGAAGACAAACCACCGTTCAAAATCCCCCTCACCGACCTTTTTGTTCTTTGTAGAAAATGAATCCAAATAAGACAGCTGAGGATGAACAACACCTATCCATCGCTGTCGTGAACCGCCGTATCCAGTGTCTGTCCCTTCACCTGACCCCACTTCTACCGCTCCAACCTTCACACCAACTCAACATGCTAACATACGCCAAGTCGACCAATAAACTCGAGGTTGACGAAGCCTCCCTGAAGAGCTACATGAGAGGGAAAAACAGGGAAACACAAGAGAAAATCATCGAGTTCTTTGAGTCGAGGCCCGATTTGCAAACCCCGATGGGGATTCCGATGAAGGAACACAAGGTTTTAAGCCCACATCGCGCCTCGACTGAGCCTCGCGCCTTGCTGTGCCTCACTGAGCCTAGGTGCGCCTAGGCTACGTGCCTCGCTTCAGTGTTGAAAAAGCCCCGTTCAGTGAGCCTCTGCGCCTCAGGCGCGCCTTAGGCGTGCTTTTTACAACTATGCTGGCACGAATGAAAAAACTAGACGAGACCGTGCTTAAAAAAGAAGACACAATAATGGCTATAAGGAGCATGGCATGATACATTCACAGCGGAAGAATTTAATCAAAGAGCCTGCGAATGCCGGATCAAAAGGAAAATATGGCAGTCTCATGAAAGGATCAGTTCACACAAGTAAACAAAGAAAAGGGAATAAAAGAATTGCACGACGATAGTCAAGCATCAAAAGCCACCATCCTGAAACACGCTACATTATAAACATTGTTCTTCAAGAAAACCATAAAATATGATGGAATAAAAATCATGAGACAAATTCACATCAAAGAAAATAGGATAAAAAAGATTAAGCAAATTCAAACATAACAAAATATGCTTAAGTGCGTATGCTATTAGGCATATAAGCACCCGAAAAACATAGAAACAGATTCATATGAGAAGCGCTACAGATACCCCACAATTGGCTACTCAAATCAAGCTTATCTAATAAGCACAATAAGTTAGCTTTCTTCAAAATGCACATAAAAATATCAATCACTTATTATACTAGCGCTCTATTTGTCTTCGGACTTGTAAAATTCCAGAATCAACTTGGCATGCTCCTTGACCAATTCACTTCGCTCAATGAACAGCTCCAATTCGGCAATTTGCAATTTCCTCCATCTAGCCTCCAAAGTTGCCTTACTTTCGCTGTCTACCATATCTAACCCGTGCTTTAGAACTTCCTCTTCTAAGCCAGACACACCGAACCTCTTATCAAACAAACTAATAACCGAACTCTTAGGCACCTTATCGACCTCCATTGGCACCCCAATATCTACTTTCTTATCAGGTGAATAATGCAACTCTGCTTTCAATGCAACCACTGCCTTGTTATTTGCCTTGGCTTTCCCATTGGATTTAGCAGCTGAAGACTCAACTTTTCCACTAATCCCCTCTTTTCCCCATATCTTTTTCGACAGTTCAAATGCATTCTGTTCATGGGCTTTAGAGAAAGTTCGATCCTCACCCTTTTTACCTTTCCCGGCATTGTTCTCAAACTTTTTCTTTAACCTTCTAATCTTATCCATCAACTGTGCTTTCGTAACATCAGTATGAATCGATTTCTTAACAAAATCATAAAACGCATTCATATCAGCACAAGGATCAGCCTCTTTTTTAGCAGAGTAATCCAACATACCTTTCAACAGAGCAATCTCATCGTCTTCACTGAATAACCGCTGGAAAAGCTGCTTCTTCGCATCTTCACCAGTTTTTTTCACCTCTTCAACAGAAGGAGTAATGGTATTCCCTTCTTCAACGGTTTTCTTCTTGGGTCGTTTCGCTTCCTTGGCATCTAGCTCCGTCTCGCCAAGCCTCTTCGATGAACAAGGCCTAACGGGAGAAGCCAAGGGTTTGTTGGATCTGGGTTTCTTCGCGTTCATGTCTTCCATGGGTTTCGTCGCAAGAGGCCTGACATTCGGCGTAAGCGTGTCGGATTCGGATTCGGATTCCGACTCAGTACCGGATTCCTCAGATTCTAAGACGGCTGTCGCGGGCTCAGGCTTCCCGGAAGGTGGGCTCTTTTGGATCAATGGAGTAGACTGGGTTTGGGGTTCTTCATCCTCTTCTTCTTCCTCGGCTGAAGATCCCACTTCTTCGTCCTCGGAGGTAGTCTCCTCAGCTTCCTCAGAAGAGTAAGCGGCAGGTGGGACTTCAATGGGGTTTGAACGCTTCGGTGCCATCGATTTTCAATAGGGAGAAAGAGGGAGAGAAAGGCTGATTAGGGTTTCGGTTTGATGGTTTTATAGGGAATAGATGCGTGGAAAGTTGAATCGAACGCACAAAAGAAAATAGATATCCAATCGGAGTATCCGAGTCCAACTCACCTCCGATTTTGATTTCCTATATTAACTTTGTGTTAAATCTTTAAATAATCTCCAAGGTACCTCTTTTCGGTTTCTTATTATTATAAGGAATAATTACACCGTTCCTCGTTGAATAATAATCTCTCTCCTATTTTCCTTACATAATTTTTAATTTTTTTAATTTACTAATTGAACTTTATAAATTGAATCATTTTGTTAACTCTCCTCTTATCTCTCTAACGTCACTGACAAAAAGACTAAGGATGTCACTGTCGACCACCGCAGATGGTAATCGTTCGGTCTCAAATTTCATGGGTCACTTCACCTCAATACCGTGAGTCTGAATCCAACATCCATTTTGCCGTAACTTGCTCTGAAGTCCACAATTTTGAGATTGAAAGTGAGGAAGCCGAAACGTTTCAATCCAGATTCACATAGTTTGTGATATTTTTCGATGAATTAACCACCAGATTCAAACTCAGCGGGTCAATATGAATCGACCCATGAAATTTGGGATCGAACGACCACCATCAACGATGGTAGCTGGTGGACAGAATGAAAATAGCATGGTGGCCGATGACATTTCTTGTACCATGCCATAACACCGTTAAATAGATAATGGCAGAGTGAGCAAAATGATTAAATTTATAAAGTTCAGTGAGTAAATTAAAAAAATTGAAAGTTGGATGAGAAAAATATGAGAGAGTATAGTTTAGTGAGAAATAGTGTAATTTACCCTTATTATAAAAAATTATAAATTAATTTTTCATTCTTTTTCAAAATTAATAATAAATTAATTTATTTCTATAAGAAATTTAGATAACCTCTAAAAAATTATAAATTAATTATTCACTTTTAAATAAGAAAATGTATTCTTTTCTTTATACTAATCAGCTTTTAACTTCAAAATTTTATTTTCTTTCAAAGGGTAAACTATGTGAATATACCCCTATTTTTCGGTCTGACCGAAATTGGTCACCAATTTAAAAAATAAGGAAAAATGATCTCTAACGTTATGGATCCATTCGATTTTAGTCCACCAACTGTTAACTCCCGTTCGATTTTACTCCCTCGGCTATGTTAGAGACCAAAACAAAAGGGATTTAAACAAAAGAGGTTAACAAAAATTAATAACAGAGAGACTTATACCGGACGGACCGATAATGTGAGGGTCATTTACCCTTAATTTTTAAATAGGAGACCATAGTTGGTCAGACCCTAAACAAAAGGAATTATTCGCATAGTTAACTCTTTTTCAAATTATAATGATCATCGTTTAAATCATCAACTTTATTTATTGTGATTAAATTTATTATATTGTCAATTTTATTTATTGTCACATCATGTTTCTTAAATTCTTAATAGATTAGTTTGTTTTTAAAAAAAATTGGATGAGCAATTTATAATTTTTTATAATTGAGAAACAAAAAAAAAGTGCCCTATAGTAAGGGAATTATTTTCATATTTTACCCGTTAGCTTTTTTCAGAATGGGCTTTAGATGTTGGGCGGATCTTTGCTATTGTTGGGCTTTTAGCATTTTGCTAGCGGTCCATTATATATTTTCATGCACTTTTAGGCTGTTGGGCTTTACTTTTTGGTCTATTGCTTCCTGTCCTTGTAATATTTGTATTTTTTATATTTATCCATCCTTTCTTTCGAGTCCATTTGATAACACCATAAAAGATGTTTTATTTAATCGAATTACGTGACGATAAATCATTAACAAGTTGATTTAGTGCGGTGAGACATTTAATCTTTTAAGTAAGGTTAAGAGTTCAGATTTTAGCATTTTTAAATTGAATAAACCGGATTAAAAGGATCGCCTCCCTTTTATTTATTTATTTTTGGATGAGAAATGATAATATAGAGAAAGAAACACTGTGAAACACCCAAAGGACAAGTGGATGAGAGTTCCCCAATACTCTTTAACAAGGATTTGGTCTCAATTTCTCACCTCCAAATGCTCATCCACTTGTAGTTTTCCCTCTTTCAAATATATATATATATATATATATATATATATATATATATATATATAATATTCTTACATGTCTTATTTAATATAGAAAACCGTTTTTATATATCCTTTTCCATTGCCAATCATTTCCTTTCTCTAACGTTAAATAAGCTGAGTTTTATCTATAACTGGTTTAGTTCTCTCCATGCACTCTACTGCATAGTCTTGGAACCTAAGGGTATGCTTTTCTCTACTTTATTTCATTGGTTTTCTCTTTACTCCCATGTTTATGTGCTACTATGTTACCTAAATATGAAGTATTTGATCCGGTTTTCGATATGTTATTATTTCAAATCTATTTCGAGTATTGAGTGTGTGTCTATATTCGAATATGAATTGCATATGAATATTTTAGAGAAACGAAAAAATCATGTAACATAAATGTTTTATCCTCAACACTTTTCTCAGTTTACTATGTAGTATGTAGTTTATGTCTATGTGTTTTCAATCTGTTTTTGTAACATAGATAGGTCTAATTCTAGCATTTGATTGTAAAATTGTCCTAATGAGTAAACCTTTAGTCTCGTTTACATTCTTTTTGTCCTTGATGCTAACCGGTAAAATGTTTTCCGGCCAGAAAAAAGATTGAATGCTTCACCGCGAAGATGGAGATAACGAATGTGAGCGAGTATGAAGCAATCGCAAAGCAAAAGTTACCAAAAATGGTATATGACTACTATGCATCTGGTGCAGAGGACCAGTGGACATCGCAGGAGAATAAAAATGCATTCTCGAGGATCCTGTGAGCATTTTTCTTCAACCTGTCATTGCCAAAAAGCTTAGACCTTAAGTTGTTGACATTCTTAGTTCATTGTTCATATAATGCATAGGTTCCGTCCTCGCATTCTTATCGATGTAAGCTAGATCGACATGACTACAACTGTTCTGTGATTCAAGATATCAATTCCCATCATGCTTGCCCCAACAGCCATGCAGAAAATGGCTCATCCTGAAGGTATGAAACTATTCTTTTAAAAGTTTTTTCCTCTTTCATGATAGATCCTATGGCATTTACCGGAAGCGGTGTAATCGGATCAGTGCTGCTGCAACCGATCCATTTTATTTGTCCATCATTAGTACTAAACTTGTTTGCAGACATAATTTGGAACGAAGCTTTGTAGTTTCATGGAAGTTAATTTGATTGACAGTCTCTAATGGTGAGATCCTTCAATCTGTGATAGGGGAGTGTGCAACAGCTAGGGCTGCATCAGCTGCTGGAACAATCATGGTTTGATTTCTCATTCCGGACTTTCGATATGAACTTTTATCCTTAGCTAATCCAATACCAACACTTTTTGTGAAAAAGAAGGAAAATACATTTATTTTACTGCAGTTTTGTTGCTATGGCTAGTTATGAACTTGCAGTCTAGAATAACCATCTTTGTTTCTTAGTACCTTAAATAGAATCTCTTCATTTACATGATATGTTCATGTTTCATGTGTTCTTCATGATCGAACCAGATTATCCAATCTAACTCACTCGTTAATTGCTTGCTGATCATTTCAGACATTATCCTCATGGGCTAGTTCTAGTGTCGAGGAGGTTGCTTCGACCGGACCCGGCATTCGGTTTTTCCAACTCTATGTAAGTTTAGAACATGATACTTTGCTGTTGTATGTTTTAAGACCAATTTGACACATTTTCATATGACTGGTCTCCAATGTCAAGGTATACAAGGACAGGAATGTGGTTGCGCAGCTCGTGAGAAGAGCCGAAAGGGCCGGCTTCAAGGCAATTGCTCTTACAGTTGATACTCCAAGGCTCGGTCGCAGGGAAACCGATATCAAGAACAGGTCGTATTAACACTCGGAGTATTCGGAGCCCTCAAAAGCATTCTTCGTAATATTTTTAATCTGTATATATTCAAGTTACACACACACAGTTTTCTGTTTCAATATTTCCTTGCAGATTCACTTTACCACCATTTTTGACATTGAAGAACTTTGAAGGCCTGGACCTTGGCAAGATGGATAAAGTGAGTGGTCCTTTTAACTCTACAGTTAATCAATCTACTAATGAGATGAGCTTTTGTTTCCTCTGATGCTTAGTTTGCTATTTTGAGCCATACAGGCTGATGACTTGGGATTTCTTCGTATGTTGCCGGACAAATTGATCGCACCCTTAGCTGGAAGGTATGTGTATGCATGAGTCGATACGGAAATTTTTCCCGGTTATCTTCGAGTCTATATGCTATAGTTGTTGGTAGTCGTGTTCGAAGATTCTTTAAATTAAAATGGCATTAAGTGAACTCTTTTGTCTATGCAGAGGATGTGACATGGATTAAGACAATCACCAAATTGCCAATTCTTGTGAAGGGAGTGCTTACTGCAGAAGATAGTAAGAAGAAAAACCTCAAATTCCTCTCTGCTCCACAGGCCATTCCGATAACATATACCGATTTTCGAACTATACATATGCTTCTCTTGCAGCAAGGATAGCAGTAGAAGCTGGAGCAGCCAGGATAATCGTCTCCAGCCATGGAGCTCGCCAGCTCGATTACGTTCCTGCCACTATCATGGCCCTGGAAGAGGTAAGCCAACGGTGTCAGACTTAATTTCGCCATGGGACAACAATGTCAAAAACTTCATGTTTCACAAACTATCAGGTTTTCAAAGCTGCACAAGGCCGGGTGCCAGTCTTCTTGGATGGCGGTGTTCGACGTGGAACCAATGTTTTCAAAGCTTTGGCATTGGGAGCCTCTGGTATATTTGTAAGTATGCAACATTACAATTGCCTCATGGACAGGCATATTGCAGCTGAAACACAAAGTTGCAATAGTTGAAAGTCTACATGCTACTCATGTTATGACAAATCGCCAACGGTGTTCAAATTTCAGATTGGCCGGCCAGTTGTGTTCTCATTGGCTGCTGAAGGAGAAGCTGGTGTGAGGAAAGTAATTCCGATGCTACGCAAGGAGTTCGAACTAACCATGGCCCTTAGCGGTTGTCGTTCGCTCAAAGAAATCACTCGTGAGCACATCACGACCGACTGGGATGCTCCTCGTCCGGTTCCGAGACTATAGACGGCTAGATGCAATACATCACGGGCCTGAAACTTTAGCCTGCCAAACCGCACAACGATCTTAGTCGGGGCTCAAGAGAATTAGCATTTGCATTGCACCTATGTCATATGTTACTGTCTTTTTCTTTGGAAACATTTATGTCATATTCATCATCTTTACTTCGTGTATTTTTAAATGAATCAAACCTACAAATTAAAATTTAATCAATTGTCAAAGCACACATATACGTATTCCAAGAATATAATATCAATTATTGTTAAAAAAATCGATCGACTATCCTACGGACGATACTGCAAAAAACCGAAAGATCTCGAATCAAATAAAAAGCCGAATGCCTCTAAAAGTATTTCACTAATTTGAGATCACTAATCAAACACATTTCATCAAAGGCACCCACTTAATAGAAAAGCATAAACTTGTCTTCATCAACCATTGAAGTCTGCATTTAAGCCTTCCTCTTAGCTTAGTTGCTTCGCGTTCGGGTAGGCGGCGGTTTCCGATCGATTTGTCGATTTCTCGTTTCCATTTGCTAGCAATTTCCTTCACCTATTCCTCACGTTGGATCGCTTTACCCTTCAAACATCATTTTCATTCATTAAATGCCAAAAGCATATAAGAATTTGTTCTCATTCATTTTGTGTACAAAATTAAACATTTACTAATGCAGCCAACCATGTGGGTGAGCCTTGCATGATGCAAGCAACATTGCAATAATTTTACTTAAAAAAAATTCTTAAAGACCGAATAAATTTGAGTCAATCAAGAGATCACACATTATGAATTATGTGTCATATATCTGAAATCCTTTGAAGCATCCAGAACTTTACATCCATTGAGCAACCACGATCCCTTGATATAATCACAAATAGGTTTACGTCATCTGTCAAATCTGTTATCTAACAATCGTATCCATTGACTATGTTAACCTATAGATACACATCATAACCCTTGACTTGACACTAACACTAATGATCACTATAAAACCCTCTCCGCTTCGCTAGATTAAAAAGGGGCTTTTGAATCTTCTTCTTGAGGGTGCCACTTCCTATAATAATCCTTCTTTAAATCACCATAAAATTACTGACTATAGTTTTTCGAAAGGAGTAAACCGTTAACGACCAATATAATTATTTTATTTCATCAATAATATGAAAAGGGCTCTGAAAATTTCTTTTTATGTCATTGCATGTCAACATTGATTTTAAGGGAGAGGGGACCAATTATTTGTACATTAAGTGGACAAATGATACCAAAAATTTGTCTCTTTATATTAGGCTGTATTGTACGCATGCTCCAGCCTACAAGAAAGAAATAGAAACTGATTTGAAAGTCTTAGGACCATTAACATTAAAGCATATTATATATATTAGGATATACCCTCCCTTAAAAGGCATTCTTTACATTGCCTTATTCCTCATCACTTGCTTTCACCTGAAATATTATCTCTTTCATTTTCCTTCGGCTCCTTCCCTGGTCCATTGTAAATTAATTGATGCCTTTGTTTTTTTAGTATAAAAGATGTAATATCACCATACCTAAAATGTCGTGATCCGGAGATCGAAAACGAATTATATATTACGTGGATCGACTTTAGTTCGAATCGAAGAGGTTTCCGATCAGCCAGGCAAACTTCTGGATAAGGATTCAACCGATGACAATGGCAGCTGAAGTTAACAGTTCATTTGCATCTTTTTATTGGCCACAACATATATATGTCATGATACAAAGAGAATTACTGTCCATATTCTAATGTATAATTGAAACAAAAAGAATAGGTAAAAATGATTAAGGGGATATTTTAGCAGCAGAAATTAGACAATTTAATTGGTATAAAGTGATTAATTTTGTAATTGAGGTTTACAGAAATGTTGGCTGGTACGCTATCTATAATTCCATATCAATATCAAGTCGATTTCAACTTCGTTCCCACCTTTGAATTGATGATCATCTTTCACTTGTACACTTTCATTTATTTTATTTAGGCATAATACTGAAATTATCCCCAACGTTTATCAAAATTATCATTTTAGCATTTTGATCCCCCAACGTTTCATTTTAAGGCAAAAAGATCCCTCCATGGATGGAAACCATTAGTTAACAAACTGTTAGTACTCCAAAATAGGGGCTTTTTATCCTAAAATGAAATATTCGGGGTCAAATTGCTCCATAATAAAAGAATAAGGATCAAAGTGACTATTTAGTCAAACGTTAGTGGTCTTTTTATCTTAAAATGAGATGTTGGGGTCAAAATATTCCAAAAAAAGAATATGAGTCAAAATAATTATTCTAATAAACATTGGGTTTAATTTTGGAATTATGCATTCATATATGTTTAGTATCCATCGTATTAAAATTAGGGGTAAACTATTCTATTAACACTTGAATTTTAGTTTATATATCAATTTAGTCATTAGATTTTAAAACGTTTCAATTTTAACACTAAACTTTCGACATTAACTTTTTTGTCATTGGGTTGTTAAATCATTGTTGTTTCGAGATGTGTTCGTCTCTTCCTCTTTTTTTGTAAAAAATCATCAACTCTTTTAGTCTTCATTATCGGTTAATCGTCGCTTAACATTGCTCATCATTTATAAAAAGATAGATATCAAAATGTTTATATTTCACTAATTTTTCCTCTCAAATTATTTTTTCACGAAATCAACTAAACGCCGACAAAAACCCATCTTAACGTTTGATGTTTTAAAGCTCCAATCTCCTCTAATGGTCGTTTGATGAGGATAATTTCAAGATATATTATTCGTCTTTTCGAAAGAATCTTCTCATCGTTTGAGTTTTAGAACAAACACCCAAACCTCACAAAATCGAGAAAGTCTTCAAACTCCAAAAATAATAGATATTTGTGTATAATTTTGTGAATTGTAAAATGATTCTGAGGAAATCTAATTCTATGAAATCATAAGAAAATGATGAGATAGTTTAACGATGTATATAGATTAACAGCAAAAAACAATCTGAAAATGCACGACGATAATTATACCACAATAAAAAGATTATGTGTTGTCCCTTGGCAATCAGGCATTGTTAATCAAAGAAATTGACTTCACACCCTTAAGATGTAGGGTACACCATCCCTTTATGTGAAGAATAAACCATGACTCATTGTAATTGGAAATTGCTTTCTGTTTTTTTTTCGCCCCCAAGTAGGGCAGCCTTTGAATTTCCTTTCACCATAATTTAATATATGTAGGGTATGTGTTTCCTTCCTCTCATGCAGCCCCTCATAAAAACATTCAACATGACAAATATAAGTTTTCTTTTCCAAACAAATTTAAGTTTAATTTAGATAATTATTTAATATTTAATGAGTCTGATATTCGAATCTTAATCTAAGAACGAAATCTGGTTCCGGGACATCGCATACGACAGTCCGAGTTTCTTTTCCTTCGAGAATCAACGACACGATTACAAGATATCTATATATATAATACTCTAAACCTTAAACCTTAAACCTTAAATTCAGATTAAAAAATGGGCTATTCAGAAAAATTACATTAAAAAAATGTCCAATCTGTCGTTTTTCCTTGAATGATTTAACATTTAACTCTTTCTCATTTGTTCATTGATTCTAACAAATTCAACTTAATTGTTCTTGTCAAAAATTGACCTAACCATTAGATATGTTGAACAAATGGACCTGTCACGTCGGCTGTCTATGCAAATATAAATACAATCCAGGCACTTTCCTCGTACAGGGTATATATTCAATGGTAATACACAAAGTAAATGTCTTTAAAAAATATATAAATGTACTGTAAATTTCAAGTCTTCACAAGGAAACAGAGAATTACAGAGGAAATACTATTTTTCCTGTAATTTTATGTACTGTTTAATGAACACAAAGTGAAATAATATGCAGAAACCAGCTGAGCTTCGAGTCAAAAGCTACGAGCTGTGTTTCCCTAAATCTTTTTCACTGTAAAATGGTAACAAAAAAAGAGTTATGGAAGTGGAGTAACCCTAAAAACAGGATTTAAAAACAGAGGAAGAGATTCCGGGGACAATCATGTGTAAAGCATCCCTCTGGTAAATCTCTTCTTTTTAATCATCTAAAATGGCTGATGAACTTTAGGCCTGCTTTTCCAAGTCCTTTGAGATTATGAATGTTCCATGAAAACCGTATGGAACTCGAGACGGAAGTTGAACCGTGGCTTCGAGCTTTAAATCCATGGCATTCACGATTTGCAGCTCTGATTTCCATGTCTTCTCATCGTGAACGAAGGCTAGAATATAGCCGTCATCTTCATTCGGAGAATCCGGGTTTCGAGGGAAGAACAAAGGCTCGCCGCCGTATCTTTGATCTCCGTAGATATATTTATGAACTTCTCCGGTGGAGAGGTCGACTTTGGCGAATCCCGACACTTTAGGCCAAGGCTCGGCTAGTGCCAAATATGCGAATTTAGTTTTTCTTCCGAGTAAGTTCTTGTTCACCATCCCTGCTTCCAAATTCACTTGCTCGGATTCTGAAATAATGGCTCGACGAGTCGACTTTCCGGTCTTCAAATTCAATCGAATTTCGGAGAGAACGCTCTTGAGATTCTCTTCGCATTCGTTGAAAATCGAATCCGGTGGCGTCATGCAAGAGCCGATCACGACGACTTCATTGGTCTCCGACTCTTCCCATGCATTCCAAAGATGGAAACAAAAGCAATCAGGTGCCTCAATCCATTTAATCCGGGAAGCATCAATGTCATTCTTGTCTAATACCCCAAACCTTGCCACCTTGTTCTTGTCATACACAACTGGTGAACCACCGTGAATCATTTCACCCAATTTGAAAACTACTTGCTGGTCCGGGATAACCACAAAATTCTCGGTGATTGCAAAATCGTGCATCATTGTCGGACCGTCGACCGGGATTTCGACATCGGGTGATTTCGAACCATTGGGTGCGAATTTAAAGTACTTAAGATATGGTTTTTGGATAACATCATAGCTGAGAGCAAAGAGTTCACCCGTTTGTGGATCAACTTTGGGGTGAGCAATCATTGTAGACTTTAACTGGCTATCAAAATCATATCTGCCAACGGTTTTCAAGTCACCGGACGGTGTGATACGAACATGGTAAGGCAAATCGTCTTCCGACATCGCAAGGAGGTGGCCGTTGAAGTAAACAAGACCGGCGTTGCTAACGCCGGTCCCATGGCTCGGATCGACTAGTCCGAATAAGCCACGAGCGTAGAAAAGTAACAGTCTTGCTATGCCTGAGTGGCCATGGAGTTCACCAATAGCCTTAGGGAAAACTGGACGACCGAAAGATCTTTCTTGAACAAGACGGCTCGTCTCGGTGAACCTACAAGCGTAGCTAGCCGAGCCATTTTTGAACTGAACCGCATGAACCATCCCATCCCCATCGAAGAAATGGTGTCCGGCCACCGGCTCATGAAGCGGGTTAGCTCCGTTTCGAGCGTAGACTCCTTGTATACATTCCGGGATTGTACCGATAACGGGAAGTCTCTGCTTGACTGGCTGCTCAGGAACAGGAGCAAAGTTACCTGCAATTTGAACCCTGGGGTCGGCTGTTTTCGGCAAAGGATGCTGACGCTCGTGAGAGACTAAAGCATTCTCTACTGCATCTAAAGCCATAGCCGCCGCTTTTTGCAAAGAATTCCATTGCCGGGATTGAGCTTTCTCATCATCACAAGAAGTGTGTTTCGTCGGAGGGAAAGCCGGTGATTGTTGCTTAGGCAAATGAAGAATCGAAGGGGTTTGAAGAGAGCACGAAATGTATCTCTTGAACGCTACAGAAGAAGAAGAAGAAGAAGATTTGGAAACAGGAAGTTTAGTATCCTTAAGACAACAGCTCCCACTAGCAACTGATGACGCTGATGAAGAAGCCATAGGGCCAATCACTATTCTTTGCAATGAATGGTGAAACTTGATTGGCTCTTGAAAAGAATAACAAATTTGAAAAATAAGAGATTATGAGAAATGTGTGCTTAGGTGATGTTTGGTTGAAGATAAAATGTTGAGTGGAGTGAGTGATGAGGGAAATCGGGGAGAGAGAAGAAGGTATATATAGAGAAGAAAAGGAGGGAGAGATCCAGTGGAGACATGTAAGAGGAGACCACGTGTTACATTTGAGTTGGGGAGAAGACCAGTGCGGGTTTGCGGGACATATTTGCTTAATCCTTTGACACGATCGCCCACTTTTTCTAATCTATTTTTCTTTATTTTCTATAAACATCCCAAAGTTTTAAAGGGAATGGAATTTAAGTACTCCTCAAATTCTTTTTTTTATTTAATAGTTTCGATATTGACTATAAAATATTATTCTTTCAAAATTTTCTTAGTCTATTCATAACGTATACATCTTCTATAAGCATAATTGTTCGAATATGAATCCTTAAGGGAGAGTGTTTTTATCTTTTATCACTAAAATCACTAAATCAATTTCAAATTCTAATTGGTTGTACATCTCAAATCTAGTTCAAATTTGTTCATATTTATTTTATAACTAATAAATATTAATCTTTTTAATATTTACTATTGTCGTATAATAATATTTAAATAGTATTTGTAACCAACAGAGTTAGTTAAATTGGTAAGCAACTTGATATCGCTTAAGCAGATCTAAGTTTGAGTCCTTATGTATGCAGAAAATCCCTATTAGGAGATTCACTCACCAAAATCAAATGTCTGACTCAGGTCGATTTAGATTAATCAAGACGAAACTTTGAGAACTAAAAAGAAAAAAAATATAATTCATAGAATTAAAATATTTTATTAACTTATCTTTATTCTTATATCCTAAATTCGTTTTATCTTTTTTTTAAAAAAAATAGAAATGGAATATTAGAGAATGGCATTATAGGTAGGGATGGCAGAGCGCGTTTCATCCTCAAACGGGAGTGGTTTAGGGCAACACGTGGCCTTTGCTGCTTTTCAAGTCCCAAATCTAAGTCACATCATTTGTCCCACACGCTTCCCCTCTTCTTCTCCAACAATACCAATTAATTAAATTAATTAAAACAAACACTATTTTTTATTAGTTAATCGAAATGAAATATTAAATCATTTAAAGAATATTAAAAATTTAAGTTCTGATCTTATGAAAAAAAAACTGAATTTAAAGAATTATTTTTATTATAAATTTTTAATTTTTTAATTTAAAAAAAGGATTAATAAATTAAATTCAAATTATTTTTAATCCTATTTATATTATTTGTTAGTGATCGAAAATATCAAAATCCATAAGTATGAAGCAGTGATGACTCAGGTTGAGTTCTTTATAAGGAGAATGACATGTGTTACATCAAATATATAATGCTAATCAATATAATTAATCGTTGCTCTTCAACAATTTAAACATGAAGTCATGAACTCTCTGTCGTGTTGAAATGGTTGTGTATTGTGCTCCATCGACAGATATTTCCAATCGATATTGATTAAAAAATAAAGATATTTTTCATGTAAGTAATCCTATGTTTGTAATTATGAATTTATATTTCAATTTGTCGAATAAATCATGAGAAATGAAGGCATATTTGTTTGTGAAATGGGACAAGTTTAATTAATCATAAAATAATTTTATTTGTAATTATTGTTAATTAAAGATGTTGAGAAGCCCGAAATATTACCCGGTTGTTAAAATAAAAAAGATAAATTATAAATTTCATTATTCATTTTTTATTATAAATTTGTTTTATTTATTAAATTTTAAAAAATAATTTGATTAATGAAGTTTTGAACCGTTCAATTTTTTATTATTTAATAATTAACAGTGTTATGAATTGATATTTGTCTTTTAAAAATATGAAAATACCTCAAAACTTCTTTCGTTTTTTTTGTGTGAAAAAAACTCATAGTTTTAGTTTTTCTTTGATTTCCCAATGATGAAACATCTTCTTCAAAATTCTAACATTGGAAGGGTCGGTAAATTATGAGATGAGCTATATATATCTTGATTTTACATTGATCGAAATGATGAAAATTGTACATCATAGTTGTTTTTTATGTGAATTTAGGGTTGAGATTTTAGAGTTTTAAAGAGATTTTTGAGAAAAAATTAACTGATAGAGTGGTAGGGCACAATGAGACAATTCATTGGTGTCTTATGTGATTGACAAAAATGTTGGAGAATGATGATTTCAATGTGGCGTGACAGAGAAATAGAGTTTTCATCTTTGTGGAGAAAAAAAAAAGAAAGGGGAAAAAAAGAAAAAAAGTGACGTGGTAAATAACCGACTTTTATGTCAATAAAATTTAGTCAATGTCAGCATAAAACTGACTGTGTCACCCTGTTATTTTTTATTTAATGCATGAGTGACAAAAATAAAATAATAAAAAATATAATGATTAAAATGAAGATTTTAAAATTTAATCATCTAAACATGAATATAGTCAAAATTGAGCAATGAATTTACATTTGACCCTATTGAAAATAAAAGTAAATTTACAAAAAAAATATGTATTTTTAACTAAATAAGATAATAGATAATTTTCAATTTGTCTAATTAACAAAACACGCGTGGCAGCAAGGACCATATAAGTGATAGTGGAGAAATACTTGTGTATAAAAAATTAAGTGGAAAAACATAGAATATTAGCCTACGTAAGACAACATAAAGTATTACATTAAGTTGGGTCAATTCATAAAATAGTATAGTAAAAAAACAATTTTACCCAAAAACCCTATAATATTTGCTGTTGTGTATCACTCAGACACTCACTACCTAAGTTATTTAAATTAATCCATTAATCCAAACTGGGGGGACGGCAGACAGGTAATAGTTAGGTATCCTATTTGACGGCACTGTCCTTGTATATACATCTTTTACTTAATTTTAGGGTTGAAACTATTGCTCTTTTAAAAATAAGATTGAAATTTAAATCTTAACAATAATGTTATTAAAATTAGGATTGAGGTTAGGGATGGACGAGGAATTCAGATTCGTCGAGCTTCGATTTAATTAAATTTTATAAGATCAATTATTTTAAAATAAAATTAGGTTCAAGCCGGGTCAAGTTAAATTTTTTTAGGATAAAGTTGAGCTAGGTATGGTTCAAATTTAGGTGAAAAAATCTCATTCTGGCCTGGGATTATAGTGTAATCACCCGTTACATATAAGAAAAATTATAATAATCTCCCTTGTTCTATATTTTTTAACTAGGTCTTTATTTCACCGAATAACATTATATATATATATATATATATATATATATATATGTGTTGGATTGATTGTGAGCGAGTTTTAATCTCAAGAATTAGGTCAAGTTTTGAATCGATTGGAGCCTCTCTAAACTCGAGTCCAGAGGCGGAACTAAGTGGAGACATGTGAGGGCCATGGCCTCCCAAAAAATTTAGAAATTTCAATTTTAGACCCTTAAAATTTTTATAAAAAATTAGCCCTCATAGAATTTTTAGAAATTCATATTAAGCTTTAAATTTTTATTATTCTTAATTAAACCCCTCTCATAATTTTTAAAAATTCTCATTAAGCCTCTCAAAAATTTAAAAAATTTAATTAGACCCCAATCTTTAAAAAAATGGAAACAAAACTCTTTAAATATTTTAATTCAAACCTCTAAATTTTTGTAAAGTTTTAAGTCGACTCTCCTAAACTTTATCACCAAGTTCCGCCACTGTTTGGGTCGGATAATGAATGAAGGATACAATACTCGACTATATTCGGATATGTCGAAAATTTCGCATGACCTTAAGCCAAGCTCATCCCTAATTGAGATATTGAAATATTTGGTGTCTCAAGTCTGAATTCTAATATTAATTAATCAGCATATCTTTTGGAGAAAGATTTTGCTAATAAATAATCTTTTAATTATTGGTTACAAATAAAATATTACCCAATTAATTATTTTTTTTATAATTACAGGTAGGAAAGATTTCTTTCCAATTTATTTTCCACCATTAACAAGAAAGCGGTAAATATTTTTTTAACATAAAACTTCAAATAACAGGCTAACATGTAACAACCACATCTCCATTCATCTTCTTGCAAATTATTTATTTATTTATTTAATGGGAGGTTGTCTCGTAAACCACTTAACAATTTAATAATATATTCTTTCACTTTATGATAATATTATTAAACTTAATTAAAAGCTGACGGTTGGTTAATTTAGAATAAAATACAGCATTCTCAAACACTTTAACGTGTCCATCAATAATTTGGTTAATTAAGTAGAAAGTTAAGGAATTAAATTATGTTAATTACCACCTAAAGCCATGTTATTCAACCCACTATATAAATTATGTAGAGCATATACACGTGCACGTCTTTCATTTTTTGGGTTTATTTGTAAAGCACTCACATGTTATATTTTTGGCAAATAGAAACATTATTGATTGCTTTAGTGTATGAAGTCGTCACGCAAAATCATGTTGGAAAAAATAATGTTGTTTTAAATTAATTATAGATATTAATTTTGTTTATTTAATAATTCCTATTTCAAACGGAATGTTGATTTCTGTTTATTTGATTGTAATTATTTCTATATGAAGACACGATATCTTATCTAAATAAATTATTAAAATTTAGGGTTTTTAAAAAATTATTTATGGTCATAATTTATTTGTTAGTTATATGATTGACGATAGATAACGAGAAAATCGAGATTCTAGTTATCATTGTCGGATGTGGCACGTTGAGTGTATTACTTTTGTTTTTAAAAAATAAGCTTAAGAATTTAAAATTATTTATTATCTAACAAGTTAGGTTAATATATATATATATATATATATATATATATATATATATATTAAAAAATAGATATCGAAATAAGAAAAAAATGGTATAGAATATTATATTTGCTAAAAATGTTATAATGAAAATATTAGAAAGTGTGTTACATGTTTTTAAATTTTATAAAAATATTTTTCTTCATTTTCAACCTTCATTTTTTTAAAATATACGATTATACTTAAAAGGTCTAATGTCTCGTCCCAATAACTAATACTTTTAAAAAATATATGAAAAGTTAAAGGCATAATGTAAAAAAAACCCTAATATTTGACTA